AGGGGAGTTTGTTAGTGAGGGAAGCTGAAGCAATTTCAGTAGTGATGTGTGTTCATCATATAGGTCGAGTAGATCATCGTTGTCTAGTTTTTGAAATGGTATTATGTTGTCAATACATACATTGCAGTAAAAGTTATTTGTAGTAGTAGAAAGTAGATTAAATTCAAGCCTTGTTAGCTGGGTGCATTTTAGGTGACACCAGTTTTGGCATATGTCACACAGTAAACAGTCCTGGTTATTTTTACATGCGTTAGTACATCTAGTGCATGGGAAACTAACCATTCAGAGGATATGTCAATTGAGACTTACTAGGCTCCTCAGATTTAGTTTGAGTACTGTCGAGGGGTATAGCCCAGCTTTTGTAGGTGTTGCATAGATTTTATGGGGATTGATTCTGTGTCTTCAGATTTTTTAATATAAATTAATCCATGTCTGGTCCATGCAAACTTGTAGTGGAGCATTTGTTTGCATTGCCTCGTGTGGTAGTAGAGCGTGCGGTTCGACTGGGTCAGGCTCTCATTAATAAATATTTGGCCATTAGAGGAAAAGCCAAGATCTTTTGCAGTGCCAGCACATTTCCTGCCAGCAAAGAATTCATCTCTAACCGTCCGTCTAACAAATTTTACAATAATTGTCGGGTGGGCCCCAGATCTCGGCTTTGGCAGCCGGTGTGAGATGCTGATATCATTCTGAGCTACGTCAACGTTCATCTGACTAGCTATCTTAGTTATTAGGGAGTTAGTACATTCCTTCTCTGTTAGGGGGACTCCCGATATTTCAATCGTGTCTCGACGCCCATACTGATCAAGATCATTGATAGTAGTGTTAGTATGGTCTAGTTGACGCTCTAGTGCGTTGACCGTAGATTTCAGTACTATATTTTCTTCCTCAACTATCTTCATGCGGTTCAAAGCTCTATCTAGGTTGGTTTTTATAGCATCATATTGCGTCGATAAAAACTCTTGGCTAGTTTTTATTTCGCCAATATCCCTGAGGATCGGAGCTATCTTATCGTCAATTGCTTGTATAAGCTCACTTTTTATACCTTCAATAGATTGCTTCAGCCGAAGTTCTAGTCCCGTCAGTAGTGCATTGATGTCCAAATCCGTCGTGTGTCCGAGGTCTTCGTTTAGGTGTTCGTGTAGCGCAGAGGTAGACTCCTTTGACCTCTTGCTCCTAGACATACTTATTCGTGGCTGTGCCTTGTAGTATGTCTCTAGTAGCTGTAGGGCCTAGTTGCTGGGCGCAGCCATCTTGAGATTACTAGGATGGAGCCGTCGGAAATTTGAGACTTGTGTGAAGCCGTAAGGTGCTGATTATTGCGGGTATCTTCTTGTTGTAGTGCTTCTTGATATGTTTATATTGCTTTCTGGTATAAATTTAGAGATATTCTTTAGAATTTTAAGCTAGTTATACAACTAAAACCCGGACAGGCAAAATATATGAATAATCACAGTTACAGCGCCATCTGCCGCACTTGTATTCAATATGTCAATATGTCAATAGAACCATTACATATAGAGCACACATGTTTACTGGTAGTTAAACATCTCTATCCCCATCTTTCTCCTACATAACTATTACCATCTTGACAAAGTTCTACTAAGTCATAATTAATCATCACTGATAAACAGTCTTGAGACAAAATCAAGGATAGACAACACTACAACATATATAAGTTTGGGATGACCATTTATTACAAAGTATGTAATGGGTTCACAGCTGAACAGGAGGCGTACTATTAACCGAAAGTGCCATAATTTTACGTGAATCAAATGCCACCTTTTAACAGCCCCCTCCACATTCTTCCATTCCAAAACAAACACGGAGTCTTAAGCGTTCACAACGCCTGCTGATCTTAGGTATGTCTTAGTATGGCCTAGTCTCTGGTTCGGCCGCGGCCGCCGCTGCGGCTGCTACCCTGGCGTGTGTTTGTGCCAGATAGTCAGTAAATTCCTGGTAGGGTGGCTTTGTGAAAACAGTCTCCTTCCACAAGTCGGGTGTCAGGTAGCTGTAGGTGCGAGCGATTGCCTCGTATGTTGCCTTTGCTGCAACAGAGATATTTACCTTTAGTGTGCAGCTAATTAGCAAGCACAATGCCTGCAGTGTGTACAGACAATTCTTCCCATGTGGTTATTTAAAAACAACAACAGTATATCAACTGCCTAAGCACATTTTGACCACCATAATTACTGACAATAGTTTTATTTAAAACTGGACAGTTTGTGATTCATATTATTTACTATATGGTAAAATGGCCAAAATCTTCAGCTATCGAAAAGCAGCATTTGGGACTGGTGTCTTTATCATATATGCATTTTCCATTTGCTTTTGGCGAGTAGACAAACGGCTGTTTTATTTGCTGCGACTGCCGCTGCACACTGAAGAACTCAAAACTTGCAGTAAAAAATCACGGCATGGCATTGGCGGGGATAACAACTCACCAAAGTTTCCCAGTGTGGATGTGCTGCCCCTGGCCGAGGTATAGCAATCCTCTATGCCGGCCATATGAAGCAGCTTCTTGGGCACGGGCGCAGACACGATACCAGTACCGCGTGGGGCAGGGATCAACCTCACAAGCACGCTGCCACACTTACCCGTCACCTAAAACAACATCACAAAAACCCATTGAATTCACACTGAACAAATGTTATGCTGATTTGACCACCAAAAAGCAGTCACGATAATTACCTAACAAATACGTCTACAGCAATATCATTTTTCACAGAAATTTAATTTCCCTGATGAAGCAAAGCAACTAGCACATTAGACTGAGGAAGAAGTCTACAATTTTAGCCTCCTGAAAAATGCATGCAAACAATCGGACAGACACCACGTAACATGATTAGGGACCTTTTTCTCAACCGGTAGGTTTGCAGTTATGGCAATTCTCATTCAGTAAAGGTAACGCTGTTTTTTATTTTCATAGCCCATTGCAGAGCTCCAAAGGTGTCCTAAGATTGTCATCATTATGAGAAAGCCAATGAACTGCACATTAACAATAACAATTTATGTGACCAACATCATATCTCTTCACTTCATTCTGAAATGTCCGAGATGACACAAACTACATTAGATTACGTTCGAGACATCTCAACAACAAGAACACTTACCTTGCAAGGAACAGTGTGAGGTTTTCCAATCTTGTTACCCCAGTAGCCTCGACGCACCGGCACCACAGACAACTTTGCGAGGATGATGGCGCCACGGATAGCAGTAGCCACTTCCTTGGAGCACTTCACTCCCAGCCCAATGTGACCATTGTGATCTCCGATGGCCACAAAAGCCTACAAAGAGAAAGACACCAGAGTGAAATAAACCCGCCGTCGCACACTAGACAAAGCACCCCGTGACCTGTTGGTTTGATTGGCATGTTCTCACTCAGTCAAGGTAACGCTGATTGTTATTTTCATACCGCTCAGGTCCAAAGGTGTCCTAAGATTGTCATCATTGTGAGAAAGCTCCAACATATAAACTACACCTATTACAAATCAATAGGAAACCAGCAGTGTACACAACTGCAACTAGCATGGATTGTAATCGTCTGAACCTATAAACCACAACAGATGCCCACCTTGAACCTAGTACGTTGACCAGCACGAGTCTGCTTCTGTACAGGCATGATCTTCAGCACCTCATCCTTCAGGGCAGAACCGAGGAAGAAGTCTACAATTTCAGCCTCCTGAAACACGCATGCAAACAATCGGATAGACACCAAGTAACACGATTAGGGACGTTTGTCACAACCGGTAGGTTTGCAGTTATAGCAATTCTCATTCAGTAAAGGTAACGCTGTTTTTTATTTTCATAGCCCAGTGTAGAGCTCCAAAGGTGTCCTAAGATTGTCATCATTATGAGAAAGCCAATGAACTGCACATTAACAAATTATGTGACCAACATCATATCAAAATATCTTTTACCAAATATCAAATGGTACAAGCTTGTAACAAATGCGCTTGGGCATACATACTGTTAGACATGTAGCACGAGCACCTGCATTCATAATTCATGAATACAACTCTTCTAGTTGCCCTATACTTAAAGGAACAGTAGCCTCTAGGTTCTAGGGTTATTTTCAGCTAATTTAGGTTATAATTGCGCTACATAAAAAGTTTCATGGTTCAATCACCATTAGAAATATTTAAAAAAAATGTTTTAAAACTAACGACTACAGTTTGATTACAACGACGGTGGCGCCACTCAAAGCGCACGATCTGAGAAGTTGCGCAAAACCACTTTCCAGCCAAGGGCTACAGACCGAGGGTATTTCTTATTTATTCATTTAAAAGCAAAAGGATTGTAATATCTTATAAACGACATATAGTTTCAGTTATAATATGGATAAATTTGCCCTAAAATGAATATCGTTCGGTTAAATAGCATTTAGGTATAAATATAATTGCACTTTTGTGATTAGCCCTCGGTCATTTACCTGCAAAATAAAAATGCAAATACGCAACTTTTTCAGGGTGGCAGCACGGTCGCGGGTGTCATGGCGCCGTTCAAATTTCGTAGCGTTGATGTGTAAATAATTAATTAAGTATCTGGTGACAAATACATGTGGGTATAGACGATTTGTTATACAGTAAGTACAGTTGTATGCAGTAAAATCCTAGAGGCTACTGTCCCTTTAATATAATGCTCCTCACCTTGATGGGCAGAGAGAACAGGTAGATCTCTTCAAGCGTCTTGATCTTCATGTCTTTTACGAGTCTTCCCAGCTTTGTCACTGGCATCCACTCCTTGTCACCATCCTTCCCGCGACCCCTGCCCCTACCACGGCCTCTGCCACGCCCGCGACCACGTCCCCGGCCACGACCTCCAAAACCGCCTCGAAATCCTCCACGTCCACCGGCAGCTGCTGCGTCTGCCATTGCTGAAACACGAACATGACTCATTCATGAAATAGAACATATCCGTGATCTTTTCATGGTGCAAACCATATTCAAACCCCGAGTGGCGTACGAATTAAGGAGTTACTACACATACTAACCAAAGCAATAGGATCGACTGAAAAATTATTGTTGGAAACAACCGAATATAGGATAACTACTGTAGGCGACATGCAATTTCAAACGGGATCACTTCGAAAACTCGATCACCAACTACGTTCATCTCGGCATACATATGATGATAATAAATCGTATTTACCCCAATACCATATACACTAACATTAAACAAACTCATTACTGTAATAAACCACTGTAATGTAGCGATTAAATGAGATTTACATACGGGCAACAAAACTTACGTGTTCAATTCTCTGTACTTATTGGAAAAGAGGTCTCGCGAAATCTCGCGATAATGCAGCATTGCTGGAGGAAAACTGCAGCGGAAATGTTTTGTTATGCTGAACTTCATGATATTTAGGACCTTGTCGTGATTGTTTTGGAGGAAGGTAGGTGGAATGAAAAGTTCCTGTAGTCAGAGCTAGAATCGTCATTCAAAAAACCAATTGACTAGAAACACACATAAATACTTGGGCGCGGAGATCTAGTTTCAAGTTAAATGATCAAGAAGGGCAGCAATAGGGCCCTACTGCCAATAGGCCTACAGACTACAGAGTACAGTGTCAGTGCCAATGTCAATGACAGGAATGTTACTGTGTTGGGGGTTCAAGCAGGTAGTCGGTACGGGAGATTACGGTACGCATATATTTGCTAATATGTTGACTAATCGTGCGTCAATAAACTCAATATTCACAGAGAGTATAGCTAAGTCTAAGACATGTGTCTATAGTCAGTATATAGAGTATAGGTACGTATCTAGAATTTTAGAAATTTAATCATCTGTAATTACTAATTGAGTAATTCACTTCCGCGCGCATATATTAAATATTATTTGCTATAGGATCTATTGACTAATCGTGCATCAATAAACTCAATATTCACAGAGAGTATGAATTCAAGCCGGTACGGGAGATCATTTGCATAATATACCCTGTGGCTATATGCCCGGCAGCCTGCACCCTAACCCTAACCCTAACCCTCCTGTTTACTTGAGAAATCACTGAAAATTAAAAACTGCCGGGCATTTAGGAAAACGAAGACCGTGCCCGGCAGCCGTTGGATATTTTCTAAGTGTCGATTGCGAGTTCATTCGCTCAGTGATCCGAAGCTAGGAGAATTGGGCTAGTTCGAATATACAGCCCTAACGAAAATTGCTTGACATTTCTAAACAAAGGTAGAATACTTTGGATCACGTAGTACACTGTTTACTTGAGAAATCACCGAAAATTAAAAACTGCCGGGCATTTAGGAAATCGAAGACCGTGCCCGGCTGCCGGGCATATAGCCACTTCGCATAATATATTCTAGATACCAATAGACACATGTCTTAGCTATACTCTCTGTGAATATTGAGTTTATTGACGCACGATTAGTCAATATATTAGCAAATATATGCGTATCGTAATCTCCCGTACCGGCTTGAATATAGACACCCCCTACTGTGTTATGGTCTACTCCCCTACGTTACCGTTGGCGTTGTGGAGGTGCATTGTTGTTAGTGGCGGCACTGCCGTGAACTCGCAGACAATGACAACTATTGAACTGGATAGTAATAGGCGATATTACGTAAAAAAACTATAGACTAAAAATTTAGGTCTGAAGTGTGTAATGTTGTGTTAAACTTACTATTAGTAAATAGTAATAGTAACACTAACTGTAAGTAACACAACAATGTCAACATTAATTTTAATTTTAATTTAAGACCGTAATAGTATTACTAAGCCTAGTCTAAGGTGGTCTGGATCTGGATAGTTTACTGCGTAGCCCACGGTTACGTGGATAATAATGCAGGGACATTCTGTAAGGAATAAACGTCCAGGGCTATAGTTAGCCATGAGGTGTGACCTAGCTTGGGTAAAGCCAGGTAGTTAGCCTTTTAGCTGAATGGCACTGAGGGTGGTCACACCCAGAGTTTTTTTGCGCCCTCAGTGGTTCTTTTTACGTCCCCATTGGCCTTAGTATTACTGGAGACGTGGTATTCAGGTCCGTAGGCTGATCAAATTCCTAGGGGGGTGGAGCAGTGGCAGATTCAGGATTTCAAGGAGGGGGTGAGAAACAGGTGGGGGTCTGGGGGTCTTCTCACAGAAAATTTTGAAAATGTAGATCGCTGGAGATGGTATTTGAAGCACTTTTGAGTACATGTACAGCCTTCATTCTGACTACGAGTCACGACAATTCTCTTTTAGTAGAACAATTTATTTTTTTTATTTTGCTCCAAAATCTAGTTGGGGCAACTGCCCCCCTCCCCCGCAGGCTACCGCCCTGGTATGTTAATTCAATAATTATAGCTGTGGCGAACAAGGGCTATAGTTTTAGACTAGAGCTAGATATGTTGATACTGCAAATTCAGTTTAGTACATGATTTTATAATTTGCAAATAAACAAGCTTAACTTGTAACGACATTATACTCATAATAGCATGGGACACTAGGTCTTATTACCTTATCCTAGGTCTAACACTGTCACTGAGGATTAAATCGATGGATGATCGGGCCAAAACAAAATATATGTGTGGTTACCGTTACATGCCGGAAAAAAATAGGGTAGGTAGGTAGGGGAAACATTTTATTTTCTTGAAATATTTTATTTACGAACCATGTCCGAAGGATGTGCGTTGTGCCTTTTGAAGCAGGCACCAATCATGTCAGCAGCAGTCAGTCAAATTTATTTTTTTGACATTCATTTTTCAGTCAAACTCAAAAGCAGCAGTCCAATTCATTTTTTTTTTTACTTTAAAGAAAATTGACAATTAAAATGTTTAGGGTCGCTGGGAATAAATAGGGTCGGTCGGGAAACCGTAACCACAGCTTTATTTTGTTTTAGCCTCAGTATTAAGCTAAGTCAAGTTAGTGTGATATTTACTACCATTTGTCTTATTATTTTGTCCATGCAAATGCTGAAGCAGTTTTAAATAAAGGGGTGATAGTAGTTTTCTGTGATCCATGTGCAAGTCGAATTGCAGAATAGTGCACGTACCAAGATAAACAAATGCAAACATGCACATGCAGGTCATTTGGTCAATCATGCACCACATATGATACCTGTATTTGAGTTGAGATTAAAGTGAGATAAAATTATATGTGCAGGGCAAGCTACTAGTTATGATTCAATCTCCTACTGGACCACAGGAACTGGCCCTACATTTTTTGTTTTGGTACTATGTCTCACAATTATATCACACTATGATAGCACATGAAGCAAATTATGTGCAGTACAATGACCCTTTATCTATTTGAATGATATTTCAGACACCTACACTCTAGTATCTATGCAATATATGTAAACACAACAATTACTGCTTTCTTCCCCTCAAAGAGTTATCTAAAACGTGGTATGCAACCTTGCCATTTAATAACACATGGTGCTAGTGGGTATAGACAGTCCATTTTATAATGAGAAAGACACTGTTAAATATGTTTCTTGCTATGCTACCCAAGGCACTGGCATATAAATAGCAACAGCTGACATTTCTGGCATCTACCCCGCGATCATAAAATAGGAATAGCACCTTAGAGCCAATGCTGATCTTCACACCAGCCTTACTGAATGGCAAGATGATGCTTATACTTCCATGACAAATTTTCTTTGTAAGCTCTAAAAATATTTATTATATTCACAGTTTCACACTTTGCTATGCGAGCACGTATACGTTTCATTGTACACGTTAAAATTTTGTACTGCTGATCAAGTGCCTTAATTACTGCACTATTCTAGGATGTGGTACCATCGTGAAAAAGCTTTCACACTGAAGGCATTTGAAAGGCAAAATTATAGAAAAAATATAGCCAATGTCAATCAGATCTATTGAACTAAAACTAGAGCTAAGCTCTTTGTTTTTATGATCTGGTATTTGTCGTGGTGTCTGGTATCATTTCTTAACAGGGAAATTGTATTAATCATGCTGACATCAGAGCCAGTGTACATCTGTAGACAGATGCTAGGTCCCAGATGAAGCATGTCGGTGGCAGTTGTTGGTGTCATCCAAGGAATATTACTTAGATGTCCTGTTTGCTGAAAGCCTGCCCAGGTCTCAGGTCAGATTCTAGCTACTGTGGCATACTTAAAAACGTTGCCCTTCATTGGTTCGCAATAAACAATGAAAACCGTGTGTATAAATTGGCTGAATAGAGGACATTCTGAGAATGTTGCAGAAACAGATGGATACATTTATCATGGTAGCAGCCACACGTGTTTGCAAATGTTGAATAGTTGGTAGTTGCACTTGACCAGTACTGGCAGTACACCTGTATACCATATATTAGTGTTTCACGTAAGAAAATTAGTGGGATGCTATAAATTGATGTCCAGGATATTCTGAGGAGAGTTATTGACAATCCTTTGGCCCACCCAAAACCTCAGGTTCCATTACCATGATAAACTTTTTATATATTACCCATGATGTGATCTAGTAAAAATAAATATGAAAGCAACGACATATTTGTACTGATTTTAACTGACAAACCTTTACAGTCAGCACATGTTCTGATTCAGTAATATCTGATTTTAAAGTCAAAATGGCCAGTTCAGTAGTATATTGGGTATTACTATTAGAAAATCTCATTATTAAAGTTTGCCAATTCAAAACTTTATTGTCGTAAAACAACGGGTTCATTGTCCAAATGTGAAATTGCCCTTAGATTGTCAGCAAGACTTAGTTAAGTTTAGGTTTGGGAATTATGCGATGTTTTTGCGCATGCACGTCCATTTTTCACTACTTCAGTTGCATCCGATGCACAAACGGGTACTAAATGGTCTAGATGCTACAAACGGTCTAAAATGCTAAAGGTCTAGAGCAAAAATTTGCTACAAATTGGTACTAAATTCGAACTGGTGTAGGCTCAGTTGTTTTTTTTATTGAAATAAGGAGTGCCAATAATGGTGCTACTGCACCTATGTTGAAGAGTGGCAAGATGCATTAGTACCATCTTGTGGTGATCCGTGGATGTGAAGGCAGGATACAGTGGCATTGGGCATGGTGCCCCGTGGGTTTCATTCAAATTGGATGTGCAACTTGTCTGCATTTATGTGGTTGTCAATGTAATCGAGTTTGCTCAGGCATATATGCAGAAAGGGAGTGAGTGGTTTTCATGCCAGTGGTCTTCCTCCAATGATCATTTCAATCTTCCTCATAACAGTTCATCGTTTAGGAGGTACATACTGGTGAAAACCATATATATATGGTTATTATATACAGCCTGTCTTTAGAAACATGTACAAGGCCACCATACATAAGGCCTTCTTTACGCAGGATCATGTATAAGACCATCACATAGGGTCATCCAGCTGCAACTGTAAACTTGTGCTGTTTTAGTTGCGTTTATGTTCCAGGCAATGAGAGATAGCAACAGTAAATAAATAGTGCAGGGGAAATGCATTGCAGTGTCTCTGC